CCATTTATTCATATTTGACATTTGTTTATATTCTTAAATGTACATGTGCTAATTACATAGATATGAAATAAATAAATAATGCACTATGAAATATTTACATACTTAGAGACAATGTCCAGCACTATAATACTATGAATCAACAAACAAGTCATTCACTGCCAAGTTAGCGAGCTGCACACATGGAGCTACATAATAGAGAAAATAGAAGCAGAGCATCATGGGTATTCTCTAGTTAACTGTGTTCAAACTCCAAATTCCATCAACCAACATAAACTTCTATAATTTATACTGCACACAATGCAAAGTACATACATTAATTTACAATTCTGAATAAGTATTTCAATGCAAAATGTTATACCGGTAGTGTAAGTATAATTGAAGACTCAATTTTAGTTTTCTGTGAGTATTAAAATGAGAACTTTGTTTATGTTTGAGCTTACTGCCATGACGTGGACAGGCAGACAAAATTAATTTCATATATTGCTCTGTTTTTGGATTAACTCGCTGTTTAATGTGATCATTTCGGCTGCTACATATTCATGAACATATTATCTTGCTTGTACGTGTATATACTACTGTGTTTTTTGGTAGAAAGTCAGTTGATAAGAATGTTGGAGGTCGTGCACTTCTTAAAAAGTTACTAAGTAAGCTACTATAACATCCTATACATCTGACAGACTAGATATAGACAAATACACTAGTACATATGCCATACCAATATTTGTCTAAAGGATTAATGATGACCAATTTTGCTTTTTTTACTATTCAGACTATATTTTTTAACAATTTCAGTCACACAAGTGACCTGTGAATTGCACAGGATGTTCGTAAAGTGTTTATTTTTCAGACACACAGACAGCTTTTTCAAACCTATAATTACGACTTAGTTACATGGTTTAGGTCAATTATAATCTATGGGACTCTACCATGCTTTCAAGGCATTTCTGTAAACCACTATATTGCAGACACAGGTGTGGAGGATGTAGATGCACTGAATATCGGAGCATAACAGATTGAATGAAATAAATTTATCAAATGTCCAATTCTTTTCATTTTCAGGGAACCTCGATATGCCAAGCTGCTACAACATGTGTCTTTATTATATTGTTATATGTATCTAGGGTTATTTATAATCTCATAGCAGTGAGTCCACTTCCTATGCCAACATTCGGATTTATGTGGATAAATGTCTCTGATCAGGTCAGTTGTAATAATGCTGTATTCTAGAAATCTTGTCTATTTGAAAATACATTTAGATTATCATTTTGAGGTTCAAAGTTTTGATTCTTCAAATCTGTCAGAACACTATGGGTGGACATGGCACAGATTCTAAACCCTCCCTCTTTTTTAGCTCCGCTGTCGACTTTGTCGAGCGGAGCTTATCATATGAGTGATTGTCCGTCGTCGTCGTCGTCGTCGTCGTCCGTCGTCCGTGTCAATGTTTTACTTTTTCGACTTCTTCTTGAAAACTACAAGCCTGAATGCTTTGATACTTGGTGTATATGTACCTTGGGTAGACCTCTCTTTTGTTTGTTCATTTCATGTTGATATCTTCAATTCTCTAATTTTGGTGAATATTTTTGTCATTTTGGGTAAAAAGTGATATTTTCGACTTCTTGTTAAAAACCGCAAGTGCAATTGCTTTGATATTACATATATAGGTACTACATGTGGACCTCTCTCAGATTTGTTCATTTTGTAATGATATCTTTAATTCTCTAATTTTGGTGAATATTTTTATCATTTTTGGTAAAAAGTGATATTTTCGACTTCTTGTTAAAAACCGCAAGTCCAATTGCTTTGATACTACATATATAGGTACTACATGTGAACCTCTCTCAGATTTGTTCATTTCGTGATGATATCTTCAATTCTCTAATTTTGGTGAATATTTTTGTAATTTTTGATAAAAAGTGATATTTT